AATAGGTATATTAAAATTAAATTATATGTTATATTATATAAATTACAGTTTTTTATTGTAATTGAATATATAATATAATTTTAATATACCTATTTCTTTACATTTAAAAAAAATCATTATTCAAAAAAAAATTAAATTAAATATAGGGACCCATATTTCAAGCATGAATTTAGTGCGCGAGCAAACTCAAGGGGCACGCTTCTTTTACTTTGATTTTTTGACATATAAGTCAAAATTCTAAAGGGGGATGTTTTGTGGTATTGATATATGTATTTTTAGTGCGTCAAATATAACAGTTGTATCAACTGTTGTTTTTAAAAGAAAGACCTTTTATATTAGACGTAAACTTTATAATAAAATCTACACCAGTATTAATAAGTTCATTGGTTTAGCAGTTAAATCGCTCGACTTGCATCACTCAACCTCAGTATCTAAAGCTTCAACTGTGGATCTAGCCATGTGGGCATAAGAGGTAATCAAAATGCTGATAAGATTGCTAAAACTGATGGAGATTTTATACCACTTGCATTTTCTATCTCTGAACTTAAATTTCTACATAATATCCAGAATAAAAAGTGGTATTCAGACAGGGTGGGCAGTAACAGAAGATTCAAATAAACTATATAAATGTAAACCTCAATTCTTCCAAGCTTCTGTAACTCGGTCATTATCCAGAAATGAAGAAATCATTCGCAATCGTCTCAGATTGGGCCACTGCTATTTCTCTCATTCTTTCCTTTTAAAAGACGATCCCCCGCCTAACTGCTCTCTTTGTGGTAACCAATTAACAGTGCACGTAAATACCTCCTTATAGAATGTCTCTCATTAACTTAAGACAATCATTTGGTCTGAATGGCGATCTGGCTCCGGACTTGATGCTAATAATCTACAGTCTTTGTTCCTATTTATTAGGGCATCTGGTTTGGGGTCATTAATATAGTTTAGTTTACTTTAATTTGATCAATGCCGCTAAATGGCTCAGCCAGCTAATGCGGCTTATACAAAATCCTTTCTTCCTTTACTACTTAGTGAAAAAATATACATTTTCGCCGTATATTGCGTAAAAAAGTATCTTGGTAAAAATTAGTGCGAGGAATGGTTCTCAAAATATTTGAAATCGAAATAGTCAATACATGTCATCACTGACAAAAATTAAACATGTTGACTTGATAGTTATTAAACTTCGGACCACCCTGTATATAGGGAAATCAATAGAATTTGGTATGTACGTCAGCACCTTCTTTGTGTAATAATATTGATGTAAAAACATATTTGTATATTTAATCTAAAATTGAATTGAAAAATCGGTGACAAGATTGAGAATTTTATTGGCAATTTTGAAAACTTATATATTAATATATAACTTATATAATTAATATATATATATATATATATATATATATATATATATATATATATATATATATATATATATATATATATATATATATATATATATATATATATATTAATATATAACTTATTAGTCTAAGAGCTATCTTTTACTATGCTCTCTGGAACAGCATGTGGCCCATCTGGCTGCCGATACCCGTTGCGTTCACTACTGCGCATCGGAAGAAGATCCTATATATTTTTTTATTTAGTCCGTTAAATTCTAGTATTGAATATAAATTGAACAAGTCTCCATAACGCAGCGCGTAGAGTTTCCGACTACGACCGAGGATTCAGAGTTCGAATCCGGGTCAGGGCAAAAACTTTTTTATTTTATTTTCGTTTATATTCTGATAGTAAAGTATTAAATATTTTTCCGAAGACCTTACTTTGCGCAAGCGCATTACTGAAAAAAGAAAATTGTACGTATTTCCAATATAATCACAAGATCACAAGTGTTATGGGGTGCACAATATCGTATTAATTTTGTCCAAAATATTGGACAATTCATATTAAAACATATTATCAATTTTATGTTTTTTAAAATAGAATGTTTAATTAATGGTAAGCTTTGGTTATATTATTAATGTATGAGTCAATAATTAAAGAATAATTATTATCGTTAAGAATATGTTATACAGGAAGGCGCCTGTCATACGCCGCGGAAGCTCCAAGGAGAACGGTAGTTTATATCGAAATGAAATTTTGGCAGCATATGTAGGTTAACTGAAAGAATTTTTTAGAAATATATAAAATTATACAGGGTGTCCCCAAAAAAAATTACACATCAAAGTTGTGTTTTTTCTAATGGAACACCCAATATATTAATTAATTTTCGGATTATAGGAAAAAAATAAAGGTGAGTTTTATTAAAGAAGCATATACCTAAAATCTAAGGATTTTAACATATTTCACATTTTGTAAAAATGAATAGTAAATTTTAAATTTTGATAACAACTACCTAAATTTTAGTTGACCTTGTATAGCCTGATAGTTAATTACAGTAACCATTATATGTTAAACAAACTTAAAATTTGATCCGAAAAGTTATACAGGGTGAGACAAAATTAATATGGAACATTAGTCACTTTTAAAGGCAAGTTACTCCTTTATTTTAAATGGAACACCTGGTATATTTTTCCGGTATTCAATGGTGAATTTATATATCTTCAAAATATTATTAAGGTTGCCTACCCCTCAGACAAAGAGTTTCCTAGATATGGTAATTTTTATGATTTTGCACCAGTAGATCTTTATTATTTGAAAAAATCGAGGTGGCTGTGCGATATACCTTTTGTTAATTTAACAAAAATTAAATATTGTATAGTAAAATACTCAAAAGTAATAAAAAGATACACGTTTAAAACATATTTTAATTATTACAGAATTAGAACTAGATATAAACCTATAATTATGTGACAAAAATTAACTAGATGAAATCAAATACTCAAAATGCTTCTTTTCTTGTTAACTGCTTAAAATGGTCTTTTCAAAAGGATCTTTTCATTTTAAAAGGCATATGTGGAGTTCTACCTCGAAAAGCAGCTACAATAATTTCTCTCATGTTGGTCGAGTTTTGTAAACACTGTCTTTAACATATCCCCATAAAAAAACCAGACTAGATAAAATCAGGAGCATTTAAGTATTTTATTAATTGGTGAATGCACACTGCATTCACCAACTAATAGAATCATATCAATTCTCTCTGATGTAGGATAAGTTTGCATTTTCGGCAAATTTCTGAGAATTTTTTTTGTTTTCACTGACACAAAATGATAACTAGTTGTTAAAGTTGGACGAATTAGACAGCTATGTTGAAGTAACGTCAGACATATCACAGCCACCTATATTTTAACAAATCAAATAATAAAGATCTACTCAGATCAAATCATGTAAATGAAAATATCTAGAAAAATATTTGTTTGACGGGTAGGCAACCAGCAATATTTTGAAGAGACATGAATTCTCCATTGAATATCGGAATAATATACTGGGTGTTCCATTTAAAATAAAAGAGTAGCATCCTTTTAAAGGTTACCAATGTTCAATATTAATTTTGTCTCACCCTGTATAACTTTTTGAATCAAGTTTTAATTTGATTTAAAGTACAATAGTTAATTTAACTACATATTAGGCTATACCGGTTAAATTCCAATTTAGGTAGCTTTTATTGTAATTTAAAAATTGTTCTTCATTTCTAGAAAATGTTAAATATGTCAAAAAGCTTACATTTTAGTCATATACTTCTCTTATAAAACTCACCTTTATTTTTCTCACAGAATCCGAAAATCAATTAATATATAGGGTGTTCCATTACAAAAAACAAAACTTTGATATGTAACTTTTTTGGGAACACCCTGTAGAACTCTCTATATTTTTAAAAAGTGCGCTGAATTAACCTACATATGCTCCGAAAATTTCATTTTGATATAAACTCCCGTTCTCCTTGGAACCTCTGCGGCGTATGAGAGGCGCCACCCTGTACATATTGCCTAGATTGATTGTAGGAAGCTAATGCACGATGTCATCGAGACGACAAAAGACAGAGGCGCATGGAGAAAAATCATCCATGATGTTACGCTGACCACTACACTCCCTTAATGGGGGTCAGGACTGAAGAGAGAGATATTCCAAAGGATGCAAATGTGTTCAGTTAGACGTTAAATTTATGTTTCTTTATTTATAGTCGTGAATGAATTTTTGAAAATTTATATTTTAATTTGGCGCGTGGTCTCTGATCAAGGATAGGTAGAGTAGGAATGCCTCGCGTGCAGGAAAAAAATAAGATATCTTATCCACGTAATTTTATTATAATCTAGGTGTCTAATACGTGTCTACATATAAAGTGGTAGTCCGTCATTGTCCGTTGGTTTTAACTCCCTTTTATTTTTTGGGCATCTTATAGTACCAGATTGGTGGCCTTCTAATTGCAGTGTACACAAAACTCTGTGTTTTTTGCATAAATTTGCTTTATGTCCATTCTGTCCACATTTTTAAGCAACATAATTAGGTATTTGCAACATATCTTAAATCAAGCTTGAAATACATCAAAATTTGTAGGGACCATCCCTCAAATAAATTTAATGATATTACAAAATCATATAAAAGACCCAGTGCCCAAAATTTCAGGTATCAAAAAGCCTTCCCAACGGTAAAATTTAAAAGGGCCACGAAACGACCGCTCATTGTGACGTCACTTCGCATATAAACACGGCGCCGTCCTGGTTGTTAACATCGACTTGTTGTTCAGCGTGGTTTTAGCTTTGTGTAGAAGTGAAATTGCGACGAAATCTAATAATTTGTTTTATTCTGCCTAGTAAAATAGTGTTTTTAATTAGTTATGGCTGCCGAAGGATTTGTAAAAGCTTCCATAAACAATCTACCTTCTGTAGATATGTTCACAAAACAAGTTAAAAAAAACTTCAACATTTGAATAATATTTTTATTTATAAAATAAGGACATAAATTATAATAAAATTTAAGTTTATTTAATATTAAATATATTTTTTGAACACCCTGTATACATCGGTCCAAATTTCTGTACAGCTAGTTTAAGATACACGCTATATCAATATATTGTAGGGCTATGCAAAATGTACAATGCCTTTTGTACCATTTAGGACCAAATGTATGACTATTGTTTACAGTCCCGCAATTTTGCGGATCCGCGGGATTGACTGCTTTAATCCCGCAGGTTTGCGGGATTGAGATTTTGGAGCGGGATTGCATTCCCTTGTGGATAGTTCATGGGATAGAACCTCCGCCAAACATAAAAAATTATGCCACCTATAATTGCCACGAATACTACGAGATGTAGAAGGGAGAAAATCATAATTAAGTATATGTTTCCTATGTTAATTATGTTGTTGGTTCCCGAGATGATATTGTTCAGGTCGTTGGCTGTGATAGGTTGGTCGCTTTTGAGGGTCGCTTTTTCCTTCAAGATGCTACCAAGGGTGCTACGTTTGTTGGTGATATTGTTGTAGCGTTTGGGGTTGAAGATTTTGGCGTAATTTGGTGGCTCTGTTGTTATGCCGCACAAGTTCTTTCCCATCCTCAGCCTCATATATCCATTCTCGCCCCAATCGGTACCCCAAGAGTTCTTTATGATCCAGTAGCTAGTTCCATCCGCCACAAGTTTATCGTAACCAACAATCAAAACAACGTGGCTTAAATTACCTGTGCAAGCACCATCAAAAATACCTTTCTCATAGTTCATTATCGCTTCTGGTTGTATGGCCACGGATATTGGACCTAAAATAATTTAAAGAAAAAAAATTAAAGAATTAATAGGAAATATAACTAGTAACATTTAGACTAGTAATAAACTGCCCAAAGGGTCGTCGTTTACTCTTAATGTTGCTATGTGTCATCATGGGATATATTTACACATACACACATATACCGTATTATCGGAAAAAAACTTCGTCAGCGACGGCTATGAAAGGAAGATCGCAGTCATTTTATATGTAAATTTATGTGACAAATGTCATCGATCGTCATTTCCCAGCCAACTGGAGGCCGTTTTTTTTCGATCATACGGTACAATATTATCAAGAGAAAAACGGCGCCAGCGATTGCTATGTAATGAAGATCGCTATCATTTTATATTTAAAACTATATGTGGAATGTCATCGATATTCATTACCAAGGCACCTGGACCCCGTTTTTTTTTCGATCATACAGTATGTATTCATATGTAGATATACAGGGCGTTTCAAAAAAACATGTGCCATTTTGGTGGGGAGATTCCTCACGTAAAAATAAGATTTATTTTTCATATCAACATAAGTCCGATTCTGCTTTGTTTCGTAGCTACAGGGTATTAAAGTCTTAATATTTTTTCGATTTATTATAATTTTCTTCCAAGTGCTTTTAGCGTTTCGAATGAAATTTTGAGGATAAAAGTTACTATAAATGCGACTTCTAAAAAAGTGTCGACTTATATATACGACACCAGTGACGTGCATAGAGTTTATCACTGAAATTGTGTAAACAGTTTAAGGCCGATTAAAAGTTGTCTCTTCATATTTTGTCGTATTCGGCCTCCTTGATAAGATAAACGCAATTTTATTAATTTGCCTTGGTCCAAATAGTCTAATAGCAACCTTTAAAAAAAATTAATAGGTATCATTAATTTGCGAAAGTTTTGCTCATTGATTCCTCATCAAAAAATATAAAAAAAGATCCTATAAACATGGGTATGGAAATGCATAGTGTTACGGATTCCGTGGGTCCACTAATTTAAACTCACGATAAAATACTTAACGATTTTATTTGTCTCACTCTGTACACACAACTTATACTATTTACAACACAATTTATGCAACTACTATTACTCTAACGGTACTGGCACCTTCGCCAGTTAATTCACAATTTAAAACGCGGTATTATCAAACTTCAAACTGTCAACTGCGAAAGCGCGGGCCTTTATATACCCCCTGGCGAGTCTTTCTAGAACGTTCCAAAGAATTCTGTAATTTTCTCTTTGCTTTTTGATATTCTCTATACTAACGATTTTTTTGCAACTAAAAGTTAGGTGGTCAGAAAATTTGATTAAATTTGTGACATTTTTATTATACTTAGAGATTTGGTTGCGCATTTCGAAGAATTCAGCATATTGTCTATATACGTTTTACTTAGTAAACATTGGGCTTTCATACAGTAAAATAAAACACTGCGACTTTGCTGATAAAATGACAAAAAGATTCTTGGTTTCCTCTAATTTGCCAATCAGTGATATACTAACGCGAGGTGTAAACCGCGATGGCATTGTTGTGTACAAAGCGATCGAATTAGTGTCATTAGCAGTATAGCACAATTTGGCATTAGTAGCGACTTTAGTGGCATGGACATTGCTCGCGGATCAGTCGTAGCATTAGTAGTATTAGTTGCAATATTATTACTGGCATTAGTGGCATTGACCGTGGAAACACTGGAACAGTGATTTTTCTTTCTTTTTTTAGAATCGACGAATTATCCTTTATTTTGTTCATATTATTTCCTCTTTAATTGAAAATAGCAATAATTTATAAAGCCTACATAAAAAAATTTCGATCAACTATCTGTGTCAAATACCCCACTGTGCGCCTGTTCCATCTATCTAAAATATTTTCACCGTTAAATATTCTCAGGTCCGTTTTCACGTTCAAGCAGGTTGCGCAAATTGATTTGTGCATGCAAATTTGCACGTGCCAAGAAAATATACATGTAATTCCAACAGTGAGACACCCCTCGGGTATATTATTACATTTTTGGAAACTTATTTAATTCTTCATAATTTTATGTTATACTATCCGATACTTAAGTCTGGTAATTTTCGAGATTTAATATAAAACATGTTTAAAATTGACAAAAACATAATCTTGAATAAACATTGATAAAATCTTGAATTTAGCATACTAAAAGTTAAAATTTGAGCGATACCTAGGCTATAAAAAGTCAATATCTTCGATCTGTCGAAAGGAACTAATTGAATTGCACATTCATATTTGATTGACATTGTCAACACTTTTAAACAACTTAATACAGACTTCTTCCTTACTGCTTCTTCCTAATGCTACACAATTTTCCACAATACGTTTCGCAGTTGAAAAATATGTATTAGTTTCAAAATAAATTCCAGTGAAATTGGCTTGGGAATTGTCGGTAGTTAAACAATTTTGCTCTGTTTTTTCATCTTCAAGATGTAGATACCAAGCAACTCCTGAATTTGGTTGTATACCTCCAAATTAATGCTGAGAAGCAGCATCTGATTTTGATAGTGGGGAGGATAAAGAAAAGGGTCGCCCTGGATTAATGATATGTCATTGAAAAGCAATTTTGTTAGTCTTTTGATTTTTAAATAATATACATAGAGTTGAATATAAAATAACAAAAATTATTTCAGCAATTATAGGTATAACAAAATAAATTATAGTTTTATCTTTCTATGTGATATCCAGTCGATTCCTATAGACCGATCAAATATGTCGACTTTTGTTAATCTATCACCAAAAAAGATTATGCACCCTAGAAGTTTCTTCTCGCATCCAAACAGGGTCTGTCATCGGGCTGCTCCATAGACGAACCCGATTTTAATGCGAGACGAGATTTCTAGAGTGTATAATATTCTTTGCTCCAAATTTCAAACTTCAATTTGAAATTTGGAGCAAAGAGTATCAACCAAATCTCAAATTCTAATATGTTGAATTCGTGATTATACCAATTCTTATTCAAGATAATGTTTTTTTTCAGTATTACGCATGTTTTATTTTTATCACCAAACCAGTAGAGATAGGGGGTGTATAATAGAAAAACTATAAGCAATGAAATTAGTTTCTAAAAATGTAATAATATACCGGATGTTCCATTTAAAGTAAGAAAAATACCTCTGCTTTTTTAAAAATAGAAGCCTATAGAAGCCCTAGAATGTGGTTTAGATTAGTTTAAAACAAGTGGCTTTAGACAAAAATCCAAATTTTCAAAAAAAATATTACAGGTTGTCCAAAAAAGGCTAACCTACCATCGCCGTGAATCACCCGGTATATATAAAAAAAATGAACAAACCAATTAATCCAACAGCGGATCGTAAAGCTTCTTCGCTATTTGTTTTAACAAAATCATAACCATCTATAAATGCCCTATTTGACTTGTCTGAGGAATCTTTACATTCACCATTAACACCTTCGTAGGGATAGTCCTCGCTAGTCATCAACCCGTAATCCATAACATAATCAAAAGCATCATCTACGTTACCCCCATCACAACCAGAGCAATACACACAGTCGATAAGCTGTTGTGCGCTTAAGGATTCCAATATGCCATAGTGGATTGCCATTTGTCCTTCAATTACACCAGTCTAAGATAAGGAAAAGTATATTAGATATTCCCTAATCACAAAATATATTGTTATACTAACATATTATAAACATATCATAGCAGTAAAGAGAATGAAGAAATCCTACCAAAAATACATAGTGGTACCATACTATGTTGGTACCCAACAGGTATGACCAAGGCAGCGTCCATTAATTGGGTGAGGGGATCAAGGGGGATGGAGTCAAGCCGAATCTCACTAAATCTCACGTAGGGAAAAGAGAGAACACAGAAATATCACGATTGGTATGTAATTTTTTTCGGGTAAAATATAATGTAAAAATATGGTCAAATCAGATTCATTTCAAGTAAAAATAAAATATGATTCTGAACTAAAATATGTCGAAATCTAACACAAGTATTCTACATATTAAAATCCGTAAATAGTCCATAACTATTATTTAATTTTTATCTAATGGGAGAGGGATTTAGAAATCCTCAAAACCGCCTCACGTAATTAATGGACGCCTCCCAAAAAAAGTATCACAAAGCAGATTAACTAAAAACATGAGCCCGTAGTTAACGATAAAATAATGCTGAATATAGTGATAATTGAGGACGTATAGTTAGCCATTATTTGCCCATGTTACAAATAAACTTAAATATACAAAAATGGAAATGACAATCATAATACTAATAAGCTAACACCTTAGTACTATAAATAATATTTACCGCACCGAAAGACCAACAGCTACCACATTCACCCTGGTCTTTTATATCTGTTACTGCGCCTTTGGCTCTCCAATCGATAGATTCGGGAACATTTGAACTATCATCGATACCATTTTCGAAACCGTTAAAACTGTTATAAGAAGCATCCCTCTTTCTTTTACCTGACAGTTTTTTATTTCCCAAACCTGTATAATATTTAGCAGAAATCTCGTTTGGCGATTTATCTGTGAATTTATTAATGGCCAATTTGTAGGACACTAAACCTAGATTGTAATTATTATTATTTTCTTTGATTTTCTCCAGATTGTTTTCAAAAATTGCTCTTCTTTTGTTATTTTCCGTATAACCATATCTTTTGTGAAAATGTTTCTGGAAACAAAATATATTACGTTTATTTCTTCAAAAAATATTTTTAGCTCCCAACAGAATTCAATTGATAAGAACCTCTTCTTATCAATTGCAATTCATTTCGTGTTTCAAGATATCATCATACAGATGACACAGCTTTCCAAGAAAATATTTAAATTTCTTTTAGAACATTAGGTTTCTGGTTGCTTGTTTATATATGTTACTGTAAATGTCCGAAATGCGGTAAAACCTAGAATTTACCAAAAGCCAGTGGTTGTAAAAACCAACCAACCGTACCAAATAACCACCTAACCAATGCATTAACACCCTCCAAATAACCAGGCTAACCAATGCATTAACACTCTCCAAATAACCAGGCTAACCTATATAGTTAATGTTTTTGGTAAATCCTAGGTTTAGCGCGCTTATCCTAGGTTTTACCGCATTTCGGACATTTAGAGTGACATATATACAGGGTTGTTCACCACATACGACACGGAGTATCGTAGCTAAATGGTTAGATTTTTACAAATTGTAAGTTTTGGGTTCGTTGAAGGACTATTAGAGCTACAATTTAAAAATACTTTTACAAGATACACAGTGTCCCAAATAAGTAAAAAATATTATAGTTGTATTTTTTTAAATGGAACACCCTGTATATTGTTTTATTTTTAGATTCTACGATTGAAATAAAGTTAAATTTGATTAAGGTTTATCACGCTTAAACCTTACCGTTTTTGAAATATTTTCAATTTTATAAAATTGCAGTAAAAATTTTAAAACTTCATTTCTCCAAGGTTATCGAAATTTTTAATACTAAATATTTACTGAAGTTTATTTATTGATCAGATATTGTGTTGCAATAATAAACAAAATACTACAGAGTGTCTAAAAATTTATATTAAATAATTACTAGCTTTAAACGGCAATGACTTGTTTAATTTAAATGGAACCCCCTATATATTTTACGAGAATCAGACGCACAATTTAATTATCTATCAAATTGTATTATACCATTTTTACCTATCTCTTCAAGTTTTCGTAAAAAATGCATTTTATTATAATTTAGACTTCATTTATCACTATACCCATGGAATATTGACATTTTAGATTTTTTTAAAGATGTAACAAATTTTCAAAAAGCACAGATAGTAATATTGTCCATATAGTTCGCTTATTTCATTAAAAGATAAAAAAACTAAATATGATCCCAGTATTCAAACTACATTAATTGACTGTTTACGTTGATTAATAATAATTGCTCCAAATACTAAAAAACTGAATTTTGTATGTGTATTAGACAGTGTGGTAAAAAGTAACACCTTATAAATTTTATTTCATATTTTGACGAATGCTTATTTATAACAGAGATTTTCACTTTTATAACTTATACCATTCTGTGTCCTATAACTTAAGATACTGTGATGTAAGCCATACGCTAAATAAATAACTAATTTTTGGGCGGAAATAATGGTGGTATATTAATAATTAGTAATATATATAATTGGTATGTTCTTTTACAAAGATTTAAATAGTTTTCTTTTTGTAAACAAATGGGCTTGCAGCATTATTATTTTTACCACCCGTACATTTTGTACATATGTTGCTTTAAAAAAATCTAAAATGTCAATATTCCATGGGTATAGTGATAAATGAAGTCTAAATTATAATAAAATGCATTTTCTACGAAAACTTGAAGATATGGGTAAAAAATGCTATAATTCAATTTGATAAAAAATTAAATTATGCATCTGATTCACGTAAAATATACAGGGTGTTCCATTTAAATTAAACAATTTATTGTCGTTTAAAGCTAGTAATTATTTAATATAAATTTTTGAACACTCTGTATAAGGTAGTATAATTTTTATTATTGCAACACAATATCTGATTAATAAATAATTTTCATGGTAAATATTTAGTATTAAAACCTTTAATGCCCTTGAAGAAATGAAACCTTAAATTTTTTACTGCAATTTCACAAAATTGAAAATATTTCAAAAACGGTAAGGTTTAAGTGTGATAAACCTTAATCAAATTTACCTTTATTTCAATCGTAGAATCTAAAAATGGAATGAATTTTATCAAAAGTTTAAAAATAATAAAATTACCTTATATTCTGACCACTCATAATCATCGCCAAAAACGTTTACGACAAGACCAATTGCAAATAAAATTATGATTTTAGACATCATAGCTACACTAATTTGTTTCTAGTAATAATACACAACATAGAGTACGAGTAATAATATACAAAATAGAAACACCCCGCAATTTATATACAAGGGGAATAGGGTTATCTATAAAAATTGATCACTTTATCGACGTTTTGTAACATTGTAAAGTTCGTTTTTTTATATATGAAGTATATCGAGAATTTAAATTTTGAATAGTGTAAAATAATGAATATAAATATAATGAGATTATATTTTTATTAATCTATTATCGATGGTTTGGTTAACAATGGCATACCTTGAATTGATGAGCAATGGCATTTAATAGCAGTTTTTATTTTTCAAAAAAAAGTCCCTTTTAATTAAAAAATATTATTCTTACGACCACCAATCATGACACCAACTTAAAAATATACAAGAAAGGTTTTGTTCATTCTAGTCTAATTATTCTGTAACAAATATTTTTAAAAGTGTTTTAGCAGTTCGCTCAAGCAATCAGCCCCTTGATCAGAAACGGCCCCATCAGATACTCAGATTCTCGTCCGTCTTGCTTGCACAGTCTTAAGTTTTAATGCCAAGACGCTTTCATAAAAAAGTATTATTGAAAAATCCATATGTAATATGTAAAAGCCCATAACAAAACAAACGATCCTGAGACATTAATTCTATGTGAAGGAGCATTTCTAATCATAAAAAAACAGAAACACCGAACAATATGGTCGAGAAATGGTTTTTAAAATATTCGCGTTTTTATTACATTGGCTCCTTGAAAGTTAAAATATCAGGCAAAAATCGTTTGGCGGCTTTCATAAAAACTGTTCAAAAGCCAATATGTAATATAATATTACGAATATCGGCAAAACCATTTATTAAATATAATATTTAATACAAAAAATGTTTATTTTTTCATTCTCATCTAAAAGGAATAATATTCAAGGTGTTTAAAAAAAATAATTATTATTAAAAAAACGTGGAGAAACTATTTTATATTTTAGAAAGTTTGGCATACAATTTTGAATACCCTGTGTATGTTTGAACACCCTGTGTATGGTCTAAAATTGCGATACTTATAGCAAAGTAAGTACAGGCAAACCATAGTAGATATTTTTATATTATTTATAATTTATACCTTTGTTTATTACTGTAATAGAATTTTTTTTTCACCGCCATGTCTTTATTTACTACAGAATCAACTTCCTTCAGTTTTTCAATTAAAATACTGTAAGCAGCGTTTTTTTTATTTTTGTCAGAATATTCTTTGCTTTTTATTTTTCACAAAAATTTGTGTTCTTTGTACAAATCAATAAATGCTGAGAGAAGATCTCGCGACATTAAGCAAAACGGACGAAACGCATATGAATCTCTGAGGGGGCCTTTCGCGTTAACGCCAGTCAATTGTCTAGTCTAAAAAAAACACAATATATCATAAAATAATGCTATAGCCTAGCAAATGTGCTTTTCTTTGTACTAGGCGATGATAAGCCATTGGCAAACAACTTCTGGAAGATTTAGTCTTTAAGTCATTAGACTTTTTTTTGAGATCAGAAAAAGGCACAATAGATCATAAAATAATACTATAGCCCAGCAAATGTGCTTTTCTTTATACTAGGCGATGATAAGCCATTGGTAAACAGCTTCTGGAAGATTTAGTCTTTAAGTCATTAGACTTTTTCTAGAAATCAGAAAAAAAAACACAATAGATCATAAAATGATGCTATAGCCTAGCAAATGTGCTTTTCTTTGTACTAGGCGATGAAAAAAAACACAATAGATCATAAAATAATGCTACAGCCTAGCAAATATGCTTTTCTTTGTCCTAGGCGATGATAAGCCATTGGCAAACAGCTTCTGAAAGATTTAGTTTTTAAGTCATTAGACTTTTTCTAGAAATCAGAAAAAAAAACACAATAGATCGTAAAATAATGCTATAGCCTAGCAAATGTCCTTTTCTTTGTACTAGGCGACGATAAGCAATTGGCAAACAGCTTCGGGAAGATTTAGTGCTAGAATTTTTTTTTCACCGCCATGTCTTTATTTACTACAGAATCAACTTCCTTCAGTTTTTCAATTAAAATACTGTAAGCAGCGTTTTTTTATTTTTGTCAGAATATTCTTTGCTTTTTATTTTCACAAAAATTTGTGTTCTTTGTACAAATCAATAAATGCTGAGAGAAGATCTCGCGACATTAAGCAAAACGGACGAAACGCATATGAATCTCTGAGGGGGCCTTTCGCGTTAACGCCAGTCAATTGTCTAGTCTAAAAAAAACACAATATATCATAAAATAATGCTATAGCCTAGCAAATGTGCTTTTCTTTGTACTAGGCGATGATAAGCCATTGGCAAACAACTTCTGGAAGATTTAGTCTTTAAGTCATTAAACTTTTTCTAGAGATCAGAAAAAAAAACAATAGATCATAAAATAATGCTATAGCCTAGCAAATGTGCTTTTCTTTGTACTAGGCGATGATAAGCCATTGGCAAACAGCTTCTGGAAGATTTAGTTTTTAAATCATTAGACTTTTTCTAGAGATCAGAAAAAAACACAATAGATCATAAGATAATGCTATAGCCTAGCAAATGTGCTTTTCTTTGTAGCTACTAGGCGATGATAAGCCATTGGCAAACAGTTCTGGAAGATTTAGTCTTTAAGTCATTAGACTTTTCCTAGAGATCAGAAAAAAACACAATAGATCATAAAATAATGCTATAGCCTAGCAAACGTGCTTTTCTTTGTACTAGGCGATGATAAGCCATTGGCAAACAGCTTCGGGAAGATTTAGTCTTTAAGTCATTAGACTTTTTTTAGAGATCAGAAAAAAACACAATAGATCATAAAATAATGCTATAGCCTCGCAAATGTGCCTTTCTTTGTACTAGGCGATGATAAGCCATTGGCAAACAGCTTCTAGAAGATTTAGTCTTTAAGTCATTAGACTTTTTTTTGAGATCAGAAAAAGGCACAATAGATCATAAAATAATACTATAGCCCAGCAAATGTGCTTTTCTTTGTACTAGGCGATGATAAGCCATTGGTAAACAGCTTCTGGAAGATTTAGTCTTTAAGTCATTAGAGTTTTTCTAGAAATCAGAAAAAAAAACACAATAGATCATAAAATAATGCTATAGCCTAGCAAATGTGCTTTTCTTTGTACTAGGCGAGGAAAAAAAACACAATAGATCATAAAATAATGCTACAGCCTAGCAAATATGCTTTAGTTTTTAAGTCATTAGACTTTTTCTAGAAATCAGAAAAAAAAACACAATAGATCGTAAAATAATGCTATAGCCTAGCAAATGTCCTTTTCTTTGTACTAGGCGACGATAAGCAATTGGCAAACAGCTTCGGGAAGATTTAGTGCTATAGCCTAGCAAATGTGCTTTTCTTTGTACTAGGCTATGATAAGCGATTGGCAAACAGCTTCGGGAAGATTTAGTCTTTAAGTCATTAGACTTTTTCTAGAGGACGGAAAAAAAACACAATAGATCATAAAATAATGCTATAGCCTAGCAAATGTGCTTCTCTTTGTACTAAGTGATGATAAGCCATTGACAAATAGCTATATAAGTAGTAACAAATTATGAGGAGGTGCTCAGGCGGATGGGCAAAGGTCATAGCGTCTATCAACAATTAAGGAAAAAAAGTTACAGTACGTTGGTCACATGATGAGGCGTGAATGATACGAGGTACTCAGACTGATCAATGAAGATAAAATTGAGGGCAGGAGATCAGTAGGAAGAAGGCAAAACTCCTGGCTTAAGGATCTGCGTCGTTGGTTTGGAAGAACCTCTATTGAAATTATCAGAGGTGATATGCCGTTGCACGCACCATCATAGCCAGCTTGATCGCTAACTCCGAAGGGAAACAGCGACCTAAGAAATTATTTTCTTCTGTGCACAATTGACATTTATCATCAACTCTTTTCTTCACACTTCCAAATCCACAGCCTTTCCAAAATGTCTCTGTTCTTAAAATGGCAATCTTTAACAAACAATTTGTCTCTTAATCTTTGATGAATCTTGACACTCTTGTTAAATATATTAAGAAATTGTATACTAAATGTTTATTTTTGTTTATGGTTACTATATACTAATCAGGAGGTAGGTATTTTATCACGTTAGGCATTTAAAATAAAACTTCTATAGATTTATGCAATATGGGGCATTTATTTAAAAACTTAATGTAACAATAATTTTTTAAATACTTTTTATTTTTTTTTTAATTAAATGAAAAAGAAAAAACCCAGCGACGATAGTTTTTAGAAGAGCCAATTAGTTGTCGTTTAGCAAAAAAAGCAACTTTCTAGAGCAAGTCGTTACTTAGTAGAGACGACACAGATAAACATTAGCATTTTATATATGTAGATTATTTTTAGTGTGAAAGTTTCGTTGTGCTTGTTTATAATTTCTGGCTAAACCAGTATATTTGCCAGAAATCTCGTTCGGTCTTAAATCTGCGAATTTATTGACGCCCAATTTATAGGACACTAAGCCTAGGTTGTAGTTCATATTATTTTCAGTTATTTTTATTAAATTTTGTTTGAATATTTCTGCCCTCTCCTTCTCTTCGGCAGGCTCGTACTTTTTCTTAAAGTGTTGCTAAAAAATAAAATATTTATTAATATTTCTTGAGAATTTCTTTCTAAAAATATTTGTTAATCGTAACAATATAAAACATCCTATATTATGTTGAGATATAAATACAATATTAAAAATTTTAGTTGGTCTAAAAATACAAAATTATGAAAGATATCGTGATTATCTATATCTAGGTATATCGTGATTATCTATATCTAGGTATATATATTGTTATAGTTAAATATTGTTTAATTCCGCATAACTTTTTTTTTTATTAACAATATATATTTTTGGCGTTTCTATTAATTCTTTTTATTTAATAATCTTATCAAAAAATTTCTTAATTTTTGTATTAAAGTTCATAACAAAAATGTAATATATTTATTAATAAAAAATTATTTTACAAAATCTGTAACAGCAGTGTATTATATTTAACAACAAAAATATGCTTTTAATACGAGTAGTATACGTATAATAAAAATTTAATAATTTTTTTTTATAAA